GCCCACCCCAGCAAAGCCGTCAATCCAATGGCCAGGATGTTTTCAGGGTCGGGGTCCAGCAGATCACCCCAACTGAAATTAAATGCCGGCCGCCGATCCTTCTTCGAATCAAAATTGCCACCGTCACCGTTGACGAACCCATTTGGCCGCTCCTTCTCGCTGGATTCTTTGATTAGGTCATCTCTGTTCCCGTTTTGAGCAAACAATGCGAATCTAGAAGGGGATTTGAGAATTCGAAACTGGGTTTTGAGAAACGGAGAAGAAGAGAGGTGAGGAAGGAGGGAAGCGCAAGGTGGAATGTCTATTTACGTACATATCCTCCCCGCTACATATCCTCCCCGCCGCCTTTTTTTTTTTTTTTTTTTTTTTTGTGCCTAACAAAGCTGCTCGTAAGCAAATGGGGTTGAATTTGGGTAAGTAACCTGAAAGCCCATTAAATACAATCCCATTGGACCTATCTCCCTTGGCCAATTTATTAGGCTAAGCCCAACTTTGAAATTGACATAGAGGTGGGTCGGCGATGGCTAGCACAAATAGGTGGGCCTCTAGGCTTTTCAGGCCCAAACTAAAAATGCAATATTGAACTAACGCTTTCCCTACTCTTGATTATTTATCAAAAGATGATAATTTTTTTTTCATTTCCCTTTTTTGTTAAAAGATTTTTACTCACATTTTTATGATGAAAACAATTATAAATTGGGGTGGTGGAGTGGAATTACAATTTAGAACCAACTCTTGGGCTTAAACGTGTTGCAAATTTTAATTAAAAAATTGATTTGCAAATTTAATGAGCATCCATTTCTCAAAGGAAAAAATAAATGAATTGTTTATTGCAACCGTTTATATATTTTCAAATTCAGTATGCAATGATTTTGATTTAATTAGTCATTTAAATTAATTTTTATATTTTGTTTACAATTTAAAAGTTTATATAAAAGTAACCCTCCATTTGTACTGTGTTGTTACATAGAAAAATAAAAAATAAAAAATAAAAAAACTATGCCACACTCTTATTTTCTGTTGGGCAAGGAAAGGTGGTGGTGTTAGGTTAAAGCTTGGAAACTGCACTGACGGGGTTGATTGGATGTTTTTCAAAGATTTTATCCAACATGCTCAAGCATACAATTTGATGGTTTCACCTACACAAATTTGCCTCTTCTTGACAATCCATGTGACTTTTTTATGATGATACTTATAATTTTTCAGTTCTATAATAACTAGAGATGTCAGACTCTGAGAAATTGCTGTGATTCATGGAACTCAAAAGTCCTTCGTGTACAGAGCCCGCCATGGCCATGGCCATGCCCACCACCGCCCTCATGAAAAGATGGATGAAAAAAAAATATTGCTTATAAATGGAGTTGAGTTTGGGTTACTACACTGAAGGGCCATTAAATATGTACGCCATCCCAATTCTCTCAAGCCAATTTATTAAGCGAAGCCCAGCAAATTGACATACGGGTGGATCTGCCTTTGAATGAAAAAGGCCCGTTTGGTGGAGTAACTTTACTCTTTTAGCCTGTCATGGTGGTTCCAATCCATCACATGGCTACACAAATAGGTAGGCCTCTAGGCTCTTCAGGCTCGAACTGAATATGCGCCATTGGTTCCCGCGTTAGCCATAGTAATGAATTTTGAGACTAAAATTTAGAGTAAAATTAATTTTAATTGTTAATTATGTGAATTTATATAAGGTGCATATTATATATAATGATTATTATAAATTTAAAAAAAATTATTTTATAATATATAAATTTAAGATTAAATTTTAAATCTATAATTAAAAATACATATAACTTTATCATCAAATTATATAATTAGTGATCCTTTTAAAATTATTCTTAAAAATTAATCCTAACTATAATTATTCAAAGGCTAATAGTGGACTATATGTCAATCCAAAATTTTACTTTAATAACAGTCTAGTCAACATTCCCTTAAAAAATAAATAAAAACCAGTCCAGTCACCTTCTTTGCATTGATGCAGTTGCCCTTCTTTGGTGTTTGTTTTGTTCATAAATCAGATATATTTAATTGGAAGTGATCCTTTATAATAATAAAATGAAGACTAGTTGAATCTTGTTGGGTCTCATCACAAATGTCAACCCCTTCTATTACCCTCTTTCTATTTTAAGTCACATGTTTTAGTTTTTTAAGGTAAAAATAATATTAATGCAACTTTTTAAGGAGTTTGTGAGTGATTGGAGCGAAGATTGAAGATGTTATAACAAATCACCGGCGAAGCCATGGGGGCTTGAGGCCTAAACTTTTGTAAAATTCGTAGTTTGGTACCTTTCGTTTTATTTTTAACATTTT